AGTGGGAGGACTGGGTTCCTTTAAAGAAGACAGTTAAAAGAGCTACATGGAATGTGCCCTGAAAAGAAATTCGCCTGAGCTTTGACACTTAGGTAAGCACGTTGCCATGAGTCAGTTTGCTCCTGTAATCTGTTTTCAAAAGCACCAGTGATCCTATGGGGCTCTAGAAAACTGTCAGAATAATAAACAACACCTACTTTGCTGTCAGTCATTTCCCAAATGGGGTTAAAAAGCTTTTTGTCTTTGGGTCCCTGGAAGCAGAAAAGGGACCTGCTTATTCTTGCACTGCTCAGCTGATTTCCTGGCAGTATTTCCACCCACCAGAAACGGTTTTTCTGCCTGTCTGGCCTTCTCTTGTTCTTCATTTGTCAGTTGGAACCCAGTCCCCACTGACCCCTGGGTTTAAATGCATATCACCTTCACTTTGGCCACAGCCTGTCACTGCTGAGAAAGAGGAGTCCACATGCTACAGTCCTGGAGCAGCTTTATCTGCAAGCAGACACATTCAATTCTAGGTATTTCAGTTCTACATAAAGCCTTCAGTTCCCAAAACACCCTCCCTAAAAGAGAACCCCATGCCCCTGCCTGTAAACAAATGAAGAATTACTTATTGGAAGAGTTTAATGGCTCAAAAATTAACCCTTTGAAGCCAACCACTTAAAAACCTGTGCATCTGTGTGCACACGTGAACACACACACAGACACCCCCCCACACATACACACACACATACGGTGTGTGTGTGGGAGACAATATTTTGCCTCATGGAAAGGAATTAATGGAACACAAACAGTATGCATTTTACTGATGCAATTTTAGCCTTGTGAATCTTTCCAGTAGTGAATGGGAGGAAGCTGGATGCAATTTTCATATGGTCACCACTGAACATTAATTAAATAAATAAAATACTCAGAAACACAATGAGAAATTGAAATGGTGCATGGAAAAAAATGTGTCATACAGAAACTCTTTTTTTCCCTTTCTTTCCTCACAAGGAATCAGCTAGTGGTAAACCAAATGTGTCTCAAGGTAGAAAATCCATTAGCCAAGACCCAGGAAGGTTTGCATTTTAAGCATTTTGGTTCAGAATATAGCCAGCATCACTGAGATGCTAGTTGGCTGCCATATATGTGGGCATTTCCCACTTCCCCTATTCACTGTTATAGCATGACTGTCATTGCAAAAAAAAAAAAGTCATAATTTTTAAGCATGACATCACCCAAAACAACTTCAATTGTAAAATCAAAATTTCACTTGGTCTTTTTTGCCTTGTGTTGATGTAGCTTTCAACAGCTATTTTGGTTCAGTTGAGTCATTTCTTGCTCCTAACCACCCCCACCCAAAAACAAAGAAATCAAAATGCAACCAAACTAAAAACAAACAAAACAAAAAGCAAGAAAAAACAAGACAAAATTCAAATAATCAGAATTCAGCACAAAAACAAGTAGGAGCACAACAGATGTGAAAATTCATGAAGAGCTGTCCTCTTGTTAGTAATTTCTACTTTAAGTAGCAAAGGGGGTGGGGGAGGCGCAAGGACGAGCTAGGAAGTTCCCAAATGCAGTTCCAGAGAAACAGAGGAAGCAAAAGCCACTGGAGCAAACAAGCAAGGCAGAGGGAGAGTCAGCCCACCAAGGAGAGGCAAACAGACACCGAAAGGGCAATAGATATTGAGAGCTTGAGGACTGTGAAAAACAAGGTTAGAAAAAAAAAGTAACTATAGGAAAAAGAGATACCACTAACGTATTCTAAAAATCGTGACAACATCAAAAATAAAAACCGAGAGAAAAAAAAAAAAAAACAACCTTATAAAGTATGGTTTGGGAACCCCAAACCACCACTCAGGCTTCCAAGAGGGTCGGATTTGCCTTTCCTTGGTTTCCATCTCTTGGTGGTGCCTAGCAAGACATTCAGCTCCCAAGGCTGCCCAAGACTGCACAAACCTTGCCCTACCATTAACCCAGCATCCACCAGAGTGCCGCTCCTAGCGCTCCATGCCCAAGCACAAAAAGCGAGCCTGCAGAGTGCAAACCACTGCCAAAAGGGTCCGCAAGTCGACGAGGCACCACAACAGAAGACATGGAAAACCTTAGCTGCCCCCTCCCTGAGGGCCGAGGTGGGGGTGGGGTGGGGGTGAACAGTGGAGAGATCCGCTGTTATTGCCCCCTGAGCGCTTTCTCGAGCTGGAGACTACGCGGTTGGAGGGGCCCTTGGCGCTTACCGCAATGTTTTGCCGCATCCCCGTGCCCAGAGCCGGCGCGCAGCCCCCTCCTGGGTACCCGGCCCGAGCAGCAGCCTTGCAGGCTGGCGGGGGCGGGGGCGGGGTACTGTGCACGATGTCGCGGGGGCCTTCAATCCCGCTGCGCACACATTTCTCCGCGCGCTCCCGTCCCACAAGGGATAGCTGCTGGAGTTTTCTTCGGCCTCTCTAGATCCGAACGTACAGTGGGGTGAGCAATAGGAAAAAAATGACTAGTTCAGGCCTTGAGTGGGTATAGCACTGGGGTATCAAAGACCCATTCGCTACAGTCAGAGTGACTCCATAGTTCTGTTGGACAGAGCTGTGGCCCAGGCATAGCCTCCCACCCCCACCTGCCCAGGCCAGCTAAAGGATCCTGTTCACCCAGGCAGAAAT